TCGGCCACGGCGGCCAAAGCGGCGCTCTTGTCTCCATCGGCTTCGAACAGCACCTCGGAGATGAATTGGCATCCGAAGCTCGTCTCGAGGAGAGAGTCGGCACGTGCGGCAATGAGCTCGAGCACATTGGCCGACGCAGCCTTGACCAGCTCCTGTCGTCGAAGCTCGGGGTCCTTCTTGGAGGTCTCCTTACGGATTTCACGAACCTCCTTCAGCAGCTCATGGTCGCCGTCAGGCAGAAGCCACTTGACCCGGTCGCCGACAAACGGATACAGGATGGGGATACGCGCTGTCAAGTCGTTCACTTGGAAGAGCAGCTCTTCGTTCCGAGCCTCGGCATCCATTCCTTGGTTCAGGAGTTCGGGGAAGACCAGCTTCGATGTAAGCTTGGTATCATCAATAACTTCGTACGCAGTCAACAGAACCAAATGTCCGTGGAGATCGCCGGCCATCATCTTGATAGTATCTCTGTAGAAGCGAGTAAGGAGCTTGCGGTCCTTGGCGTTGGAGTACGCCAGACTCAACGACATCACCCGGGCACCGGACTTGGTGAAAGCCAAGTTCTTGACCAGGTCTCCCTCTTCATCGCCCTTCAACAGCTCAACAAACTCGTTAGCCTCGGAGCTGCCCGGCTTAGTGTTAAGGTAGTACTGCAGCATGGCGTCGTGCAGGATGGTGAAACCAGAGTTGCGCTTCTGCACCAGCTGGTTGACAAGCTCCCAGAGGTAGTGCATGATGGGGCCCCTCTTCTCGGGGTGCGCCTCGAGGATCTTAGAGAGGTCCGCATCGGGCGGGCCGTTCTTGTCATCCCTGAAGATGACGAATTCCGGACCATACCACTCACGCAGAAGGTTCGCCTTCTGTTCCTTCGTCGCAACGGTGCGGTAGATATCGTCGAGAATCCAGGACCCCTCGGGGTGTCTGATGAGTCTCTTGACATGTCCGTAGAATTCAGGCACGATCAAATCACGAACCTCAGCATCACCGTGAACAATCAACTTTCCGACCAGGAACTTGGCGTACCGGCTCTGCGCAAGCTCATTGTAGCTACCCTTCAGTTCCGTGGCGATCATCTTCCGTTGCTCCATGTTGGCGTATTTGAGGGCCGTCTGGATGACGCGGACCGAGTCATGCTTGAAGACAAAGTCCTTCACACGTCCAGTAATGATTTCAAAAAGCTCCTTGATGAGCTTCTTCCGCTCCTCGAGCGGAACATGAGACTTGCGACGCAGCTGCTCCCACAGCTTCTTCGAGCGACCGATCATATCAGCGTTGGGTCTGGCGGCCTTGCGCTCTTGCAGGAGGGCCTTTTGCTTCGCATGCGATTCGCGCGACGTAGACTTATCTAAATGAACGAAAACAACACATTAGTACCAGACCTTTCACCAAAGTGGAATTTCAATCAATCAAGCATACTTTGCTGAGCATCCGCATCCGCAGACTTGGACTTCTTCCCAGTATCTTCTTCCTCCTCCACATCTTCCATATCAACATCCTCCTCCTCATCATCCTCATCATCCAAAGCATCAATCTCCGAATCATCAACATCATCCAGATCAAAATCATCCTCCTCATCATCATCAGACTCAGACTCAGACTCCTCCTTCTGCGCCTTCTTCTTACTAGAAGTCTTCTTATCCTTCTTTCCACCCTTATCGCCCTTCTTCGACACCACAGACTTGGAAGCCTTCACGGGGGCCGCAGACGACTTGCTCTTCTTCGCGGGCACGGACACCGGCGTCTTGGTCCGTTTTCCATTGCGCTCGTCACCGGCGTCTACTCGACGCTTTACCCCGACCATGGTGAATATGTCTGGAAATCGAACAAAAAGAGGCTATACCCTTGAGAAGAAAAATTGAAAACTTCTCTGGCGGGGATATCAGACAGGGTAACAAAAAAAAATATAAAATGGTACGCCGCCCGCGGGTTAGCTTGCTCAATTTGTCCCGGAGAATGGACTTTTTTTTCCCTAACCGCTTTTTGCTTTTTTCGGGGGACAGGGCGGTCGAGATTTGGTTGGGTTTGTTTTGTTTGCATTTGCTGATAAGAAGGTTATCTATCTCATGGGGTTCCCGCGGGTGATGGTCTGGATTACTGTGAATCAGGGAAATTGGTTTAAATGGTTTATTGATTCTTTATTAGATGGTCTCGATCATCTAGTCATGTTTATGGATGCAGATAAAAGATAGATTTCGCACGCAGGAACTCTGGCGATGAATCTAAAGAAACATCAAAAAGTCACCGATGCAAAGCCCCGACAGCGCGCAATGCGATCAGATTTAAGCCAAAACCCACACAATGAATCGGACAAGCAACAAGCACAACTGTCGAGGGTGATTGAACAGAGCAAAAGGGAAAAAAAAATGACACTTCAATGGTAATCCCCATCCAGACGCCTACAGATTATGAATTACCCAGTATATAGTTACACACCCCCTGCGCTCGTATCACGCATCATGCACCTCCGATTCCGCATTAACCGGCGGTGCTTTGAAAGTACCTAGCTCTGAGCCCGGATTGCTTGGGCCTCTTTTACGGCCCGGAATGTGAAATCCAAGAGTCGAGGATTTAGAAGTACTAGAGTTCTGGGAGGAGTCGTTTGTAAAGTCACCGAACCGAGAGAAGATGCTCTTCCGCTTTGGTTTGACCTCCTCGTCGTCGAGTGCAACCTCTTCGTATTGCTCTTCTTCCATGGCTTCCGGTTGCTTGCTTAAGTTGGAGTACAGCGTAGATGGTGTTGATGTTATATGGGAGACTCGAGAGTCGAGCGATGTTCGAGATGGCATCGCATCGGTATAGCATACGGGTGATCGGGCGGAGATATCCTGGAGGCGCAATGTAAGTCACTCTTGCGACAAGAAAGTGAGATCAAGTACGGATGGGTTATTACAAATGATCGGCGATACGAATCGAATGATTCGCGAGATATCGAGAAGGGTTCATTCTCATTTACGAGATCGCGATGGTGCGAGGATCTCGGGGAACCAGGGTACTTGCGCCAGAAGCCCTGTTTCTCTGGAGGTGAGGGCTATTGACATGTGAGTTACTTGTTCCGCGTGCGAATAAGACCCGCCATGTGATTGTAACGGTAGTGGTTCACATACGGGATGGTAGATTCCATTGGCGTCGACGACTGGCGGGAAGAGGATAGAGTTAGCGGGGTAAATTAAGGATCCATTGAAAGGGACCCAGGTGGTATACCACTGAGTTTATATTCAGGTGGTTCGTTTTCCGAACTCTTCCTGAAGTTCAAAGGACTCGAGCCTTGAGTGTCGAGTGAGGCATGGCTAGCAGAGTTATCGGTGGGAGCGGCACTGACTTCCCCGCCATTGGGGGCAGTGGACTTTCTGGACAAGAAGTTGCGGAACGGCGCCATGGTGAAATGATAAGGAAGGGAAGCAGTCGCGTAGACGCAAAGAGACAGAGGGTCCCTGACAAGAGAATAAATATGCTGAGGTGGTCAAGCAACAATGGCGAGACCTGAACCGGGCGAGTTGCTTGCCAGGATGTACAACGCTCAAACCTCACATGATCGGCGGTCTCGGGCATCGGTTCAATTTATGAAAGGGTGGTTCATCCGCTGGCGGTGCAATCACAATCTGTTGGACGGGGTCGTTCCGACTTTTGCGAGGGGTAAAAGAAAAAAATTGGAAGAAGAAAAAAAAAAAAAAATACTAATGGTTCACTCAACACAGTCGATTTGCCACTGAGTTGTGTGCAACGACTCTATCCAGATTAGCCAGGCATTTTGATCTCTCACTAGTCGAAAAACAAGGCCGGGGAACTTGGGCATATCATCATCGCCTTTATCCCAGGCATTGTAGTTCCATACTAGTGTCCGAGATAGCGTCATTGTGCCCCATTCATGTTTCTTTTTTATGAGGGGGTTTATTCATCACCTGACTAAGCATCCCCTTGTCTTGGTAACGTCAACAATCCCATCGTATACGTAGTCTACTTGGTGCCATTACTACATGACTACAACTCTACTTTGACTATCAATGGTTACTTACCTTGTCCCCCAATTCCCCACAGTTCTTCTGAACTCTATGGTGGCTATTAAATTGCAATGATTGTTTTTGTTGCTTTGTTTCCCCCTTGCCGCATGCTAGTCTGCATGACCATGACCTGCAAGAGATTACCACTGGGAAAGCTCACGTTCATTCATATCAAGCAAGGCGACATAGCTCGCTGTAGATCATACTTACTTGCAGTGGCGTCGTCACTTTCATAAGTCAGAAGTTGTGGCTTGCAGAACCCCATCCTCATACATGCCAATCTATCCGATACGATATCCCATTGGCTGTGTTCCCAAGCCAGGGGGCACATGCAACCTCTGCCGACTGTGCTTCATTGAAGTCTATCTAGATGCCTCTGGCTAGCTAGATTGATGCAGACTTTTATAGATGCTAGCAGCATACTCTGTACAATGCGCTCTGTAGGTGTTGATCTCTTTTCGGCTAGCAGACTATAGACGTCCGAGTCGATTGTGCTCTAGCCCGAAGACGATTGGCCCATCTTGTTGGATCTTCATTACTATTACATTTGACACATACACAGCATATACATATCCCAGTTGCAGCTATATTCGCGCCTTTCGTATCTGATTAAATATCGGGAAGAGCCTCCCAATGTTGTGCTCCTGAAGGCTGCCGACCTAGTAGCATGCGGTCAACACACACCTTTGGAGGGTACCTGCCCGTGAAGCTCTTGCCAAACATGACTGAGACGGTGGGGTGCCTTCCATATCTACTGGGTGTCTATATTGTATTATCACTCATCCTATCGTCTTCTTGAGACATCCCACATTGATTCCTCTGGCACATTCCCCTGGTGATCTAGATATCACCATAACTTGAAAAAGTATAGGTCAGGCTCTCCACGCTTTGCTACGGGCAGATAATCGACTCCCGTCTGAGATGGCGACACAATCAATTCGGGGTCTAGGTGTATGATCTAACATCCTGTGTCCCCAGCCTACTTTACTATCAACTATCACCATGCCTAAACTTTCAGCGCTGATTTTATCGATACTATCGATTTTCATTTTGGCCGGAGTAGTCTCTTCCACTGTCCTCCCCCAAAATATCAGACGCGAAGTTACCGCACCCTGCTGTGAAGATAGAACCGGCCGCCTGATTACTACTCTGCGCCGTGACGTTCATGGCGACTACAATGCCGATGTCGAAGCTATCAGCGATTCCACTCCGGAAAGAATAGCCGCCCCTCTCTGCAGCGACAATTCTCAATGCAACCTTGGCCAAATCTGCAATCAAGGTTTCTGTGTCGCAGGTTGTAAGTCCAATGTGGACTGTTCTCGCTTTCACACCTGTTCCAAAGGGTCGTGCACAGATAGCCGTGGCAGCAGATGCGCCCCAAATAGGAGCAGATGTTCTCTCAGCGCCGAGTGCTGCTCGGGTCGATGCAAGCGCTGGGGCGGTATCCTGGGAAGAAGAAGGTGCAGGGGCTTTAGAGATGTGTGAGGTTGTTGGCCTAGCTGCTTCTATTGGAGTCTTGTGTGTGCGGGTGGGTGGCTTGAGGGAATCGCAGCATCGTCTACCTATTGTGGCGCTGAATGTGTGTTGCTTCTTTCGAGCACAGCGCTAATTCCTACCGTCTCACCCTATTGCACGAACCATGTATCAATATCAGAGCGGAGGGGAATGAAAGAAAGCATCTTTAGACGCCATGGTGATTGTATTAGTAGATTTTGTTGATTGTAATAGGCCAGTTACGGTTAGACGTAGGGGACACATTTAACCTTACTAGTGTGTATCCGTGTTGTCAAAACCTCACACCGGCTAGAGGAGTGGGTAATGTAATGACATATTCACTAAATCGAATTATATCTAATATAAAAAAAAAATATACATTTCCCCCATATATGAGCAAGCATCGAGTGAATACAAGTATCAGTAAGCAGTATATAAGGGAGGTACAATAAGAATTTTTAATATCTGTCACGGATAGTCCGGTGGGAGGTCAGCCGCCAAGTCAATAACCTTGCTTAGGTAATTGCCAGCGGGACTGGTGCCTGGTACGAATCCCGGGGTCGTCATTGTACTCGTGCGAGTAATCCACGATGCTATGAGGCGCTAAGCAATGGAAGTGACCCTTGAGGGAAGCAATTCTGCAGAGACATTTCCACCCCGGGATGGCGTCGCCAGATTACACCGTCCCGTTACAGGGAAATTGGCACTTTGGCTGGGCAACTACTATTCTCTTCTTTTTGCTGTTTTTTTTTTGCTTCTATATATGAGCAACTATCATCCCTTCTCAATTCTTTACTAATAATTTTGTCGCTCTGCTTGCTATCCCCCCTTTTTTTTTTTTTTTTTTTTACCCCTTAATGTTCAAATGTAGATCGTTGTTCATGTTTGTTACTTACCAAACTACTCGTCACGGTGTTGGGCTTCGGTTCCGCAGCAGTATATATTATGGTCATCCCAGTCTTGTCTACCCTGCTGGCCACCTCATTGGACAAATTATGGCATCATGGAAACTGTTTCATTTCAAGTGTACATAGAATATGCGGCACGTTATTCCTGGTGAATATCTGAAGTCCATGTCCACTGATGAAAGAACATATTACACTATTGAATCTAGCTGGCATCATTGTTACCATGTCGCATTCACCTCACCCATGAACCTTCTTTCCCCCATTGCAGCATAACTGCACCTTCCTCGACTACCAAACTCTACGAAGGACCAGTTATCTGCTATCCTACCTGGTAGGTTGTATCTCTCAACATCCAATTTTTGAGCATCATACATCGTTCAGTAAACCCCCCGGGCTTACCAACTAAAGCAGCAACGCCGACCTCGACATACTTCTTCATACAGAAGTGTCTGTGACAGCCACAGTCCACGCCAGCGCAGTCACCTGGGCTACCTGTGTCTAGTTTAGACTACTGCTTTCCTGCATCTACAGCGGCTGCATCCCCCATCAAAAGACTTCTCACTCACCGAACGCATCATGAATTTCTGGGTTGGTTGGGCGCTCTGGCAGAAACTGAGCTTTGTAAGATCCCCAAGGCCTTTGGAACGAGGAATGCCGCTAACCTGCGACTAGGCGCTCGCAGGTCTTTTGGTAAGGATCCAGTACTAGATTGGCATACATTCCACTGACACGTCAAGGCATTGGTACTGGTGTACTCATTCATCGTCCTAGCCTACAACAGGCGAAAGACACAGAAGTATGCCACCGCCGAAGCACGACAGAAAGCAGAGATGCAACCCATGCTGGCCGAACCGAGCGAGATACCATTTGGTGCTAGAGCTTTGGAGAAGGGAATTCAAGTAGAAGGCATATGGACACCCGATTGCCGTTCTGCGAGACAGTCCACCACTCACTCGGGTAGTAGACCTGAAAGTATTGCGTCGGCACCCAAGCCGACGTTGATGGCGCTGACAGGAGATGATATCCAAGGTCTTGAGCGGACATACCAACCGGCACCTAGCCCGAGCCTCTATGACCAGTGCAACTCCCACAAGGTTCTAGACATCGAATACGGACAATCAGAGTACATCTCTCTCTCGCCAACCAACCAGTCTCTACAGCTGGATGGCCCCATTAGTATTGAACCGGAATGCTCTCCAGATCTAGACAAGCGTCGCTCAAGGTGGTTTGGTGCGCGAAGCTCGTGGGTCAAGAAGCCCTTCGATAGCTACAAAAGAAGATCAACGCCAGAGGGTAAATTCCTGAAGTACATTGGCCTGGACTCGAAAAGCTAAGCATACACAGGGCTTCGCCGCACTTCATCGGAGAGCTTCAGAAGGAGAATCAGCAAACTCATAGACGAGAATATCCGGACGAACCCAGCTGAGATATACCAACTAAGAGCCATTAACCAGGAGACGCTCGAAGGCCGTAGAACGCCATCACCGACGAGGTCGCAAGGCTTTTCAAATGCCGTGTTATGAGGTGCGAGACCAGGTTGTTTTGCCAGTCTCCCGGGCAGCCTCTGCTGTTGACCATGTAACATGCAATGGCAACGAATACTATCGAGGGGCCTATGAACGAATCGTTGGATATCATTCAGTCATTGATAAGCCTCGGTTACTATGACGAATTATGTTGCGAAACAAATGCACGCCTGGAAGCGCGCAGGACATGCAACGGAAACAAAATGTATCTCTTTTCCTTTCGTTTGTGATGCAGAGCAAGTATGTGCTACATATGCATCGAATAAGACAGGTTTGGCCTGGCAGTCACTGTATTAACGTAGATATAAAGTGGACTCATACTGTTAGTTGTAGGTGAATGGCCCACCCAAGGCAACGAGCCAGTGGGCACGTGATGTCGCGACTGCCTGGACGCGTCCACAATCTCAACATGACTTGAATAACGCGCTGCGACAACGGCAATTTGCCACCATAGAATTAGAAAAAAAAAAAAAAACCACGGGTTTCTGGACAGTTTTGCCTTATTGCACACGGAAGCTGGATTGTGTGTTGCAATCCACGCAGTGTTGAAATCTGAACTACATCAGGAAACCGCAACTGATCTAGACGCGTGTGTGCGCGGTTAACAGGCTACATCCATTGCCAATTCCCCCGAGATCTTTGCAGTATTGCTACAGAGGCCACTGGATTTTGACGCTACAGAAGTTTGAATTCTTTGTGAAAGATGACTGCCGACGCTGATACTCAAAATGAGTATGACGATGGGCTTCCAGGCCCCGGAGCGCCCACGCCACTCTCTTCCCTAGAGGTGAGCAACTCAAACGGCAAAATAATATGTTTGGCGATGTGTAGGTGAAGTTCAAGTGCTGATGCTTTCGTAACAGGGTGTTTCGGGCCTGACAAGTAGGGATATCAAGCTGTTTGTTGATGCTGGATACAACACTGTTGAGTCGGTTGCATATACGTACGTCTTTCCTTTGCCAATCATGTGTCATCGCCCAATTCCAGCTCTGCTCACAACCATGTTCTTGCGTATGGTATAGGCCGAAACGTTTGTTGGAACAAATCAAGGGTATTTCGGAACAGAAAGCCACCAAGGTCCTGGTTGAGGGTGAGTGTTACTCTTGTGGCATTGGAACTTGTGACGAATATCTGGTCTGACTCCATAACTTTGTAGCTATGAAGCTTGTGCCGATGGGCTTTACTACCGCAACCGAAATGCATGCGCGACGAAATGAACTTATCTCAATCACGACAGGCTCTAAGCAATTAGACACCCTTCTTGGAGGTGGCATCGAGACAGGCTCTATTACGGAGATATTCGGAGAATTCAGGACAGGAAAAAGTCAAATATGTCATACACTCGCCGTGACTTGCCAATTGCCTTTTGACATGGGCGGAGGAGAAGGAAAATGTCTATACATTGACACAGAAGGTACCTTCCGACCAGTGCGTCTACTGGCGGTTGCACAGCGATACGGGCTGGTGGGAGAAGAGGTGCTGGACAATGTGGCATACGCTCGTGCGTACAACTCAGACCATCAACTTCAGTTACTCAACCAAGCTTCGCAGATGATGTGCGAGACTCGTTTCTCGCTCCTTGTCGTTGATTCTGCCACTTCTTTGTACCGGACAGACTTCAACGGTCGTGGTGAACTGTCGTCGAGACAAACACATCTTGCGAAGTTCATGCGTACCCTGCAGCGCCTCGCTGATGAGTTTGGTATTGCGGTCGTCATTACGAATCAGGTCGTTGCCCAGGTGGATGGTGGCCCGAGTGCAATGTTCAATCCCGACCCGAAGAAGCCGATCGGTGGTAACATTATTGCGCATGCAAGTACGACGCGGTTAAGCTTGAAGAAAGGACGGGGTGAGACTCGGGTCTGCAAGATCTATGATAGCCCATGTCTCCCTGAGAGCGATTGCCTGTTCGCTATCAATGAGGATGGTATTGGGGACCCGAGCCCCAAGGACTTGGAGAATGACTGAAAAGGGCGCGGATAGATTCTCAGGCTACGAGTTCATGATTATAGTTGTTTTGCTTGCATGTATAGGCTGCGTACATAATAATAGCCTCGGGAATCCCCGATATTTGACTAGTATATCATTTCTTGTAGGAAGAGTCAATTCGCATTATCCATCGAATCGATTGGTGTAGTTGCGGAGATGCAGCAAGGCGGTGGCAGCTTTATTGCTGGGGGCGGCGCCAAGACCTGTTTTTTCTGGAGCGCCGAAAGAGCTTCAGCTTCTGCCCTTCAACTCCGCCGTGCAGCGACTCCTCCCTCCAATTACCTCCATCGGCCATGGAGACTTGAACTGACCATTAACTCCAGATCGTGAAGTGTGGTCTGTTCCTTAGTCCAGTCATGGCTAAAATCTACAAAGATACCCGAGTCGACCTCCGGCCGTACTCGCCGAACACCGTCGTCAACATCCCGATCTCGACCCAAGAAAGTACGCAAAGCCGCGCGCGATTCTCGGTCATCTCGAGCCCCAACCGTGACGAACCGGTCGCGAAGGACGAAGACGAGTTTTCCAAACGATACCTAGCGAGTCAGGGTTCGATCTATTTTCGCAAACGCAATGTCTACCCCCGAACCTACCTGTGGAGGGTTGTCGATAACAGCAAGATCTTGGAGATCCAGTGCGTGGATCTGACCAAGGCTGGTATCGAGCACCACGAATACAATGTAACACTGCGCTTGGAATTTGAGGAAGGCATTGTCCCTTCAGGTGTTGATTTTGCCGATCTGGAGGAGCACGAAGCGTTGAGCGTGTTCGTGATCACCACCTCCAAGACTCTCCACACCTTGACACTACGCCCTGAGTTCTTCCG